TTCTATAAATAGTCTCTTTTGGTTTAAAGGAAATGCAAGCCAAGCAAAGTCAAGTAGGACCAAACCAAGTCATCTTGAGAGCTAAGAGAAAGAGAGGAAGAGAGAGAGAGAGAGGAAGGGAGAGAAGAAAATAGAGATTTTCTTGTAAACGTCGAGACGCTCGACAGTGTAATTCCTTGAATAAATAAATCCTTTGCAGCTCCGTGGACGTAGGCAAATTTGCCGAACCATGTAAATCTGTGTGTCACTCTTATGTTTTTTCTGCGTGCAATTTTTCTCATTCCATTTTTCGTTTTGTTGTGGTCGTTTTTCACAACAAATAGGAGTGGCAATACATATAATTAACATGCATGTATAAATAATTAAATATAGCTTGATAGATAGTAAGTGAAACTGGGTTGTCTAGCATCTCGTCAATGTAATCCTTAATAATAATCTTCAACTAGTATTTGTGATCAATCCTCATCTTAGACTGCTTCTAAAAGAAATCCAAAGGATAAGACATTGAATGATTTATGGTGCTCAATCTCAACTTGTGCACTAGAATAGATTAAGTGAGGTTGTTATGATTACGGGTGTCGAAGATGTTACTTGTCATACCTTATTTGACCTGAATCCTCATAGTGAATAATTCTTCTCATGTGTTCTTAATAGAGGATGACCAAACCACTATATCCTTTAATATTATCACATGAGATAGAGATAGATCTTTCTTTTATACCAGAAGCACAACATTGTCCTTGGCATTAGCAATTATATTCCCTTTCAAATAACTTTTACACTTTTTACAAATATGGCGAAGAGAAAATCTTTCATATAAAATTAGACTAAAAGATGGAAGCTAGTTTTAGAGCACTGCAATCTTTTTTTCCGTTCTTTTTGTTCTTGTAAAAGTTAGTAACTCTTCCTTGTCGAGTATGGTGCCTTTGTTTTCTTGTTTTGATTCTTGTACTCCATAGGCATTTCTATCATTTTGGTTTAATTGAGATAAACAATTGGAAAGGAGTGAAGTTCACTTAAATTTTGTCAATAAATAATAAAATATTCATAAATTTTTTTTATTTTCTTGAGAGTTACTCACAAAATAATCATCTGATTTCAAAACTTCATGTTTTACAACTTCACAAATTGCTCGACATTATCTCAAACTGTGCAGTTCTCTACCAGTCTTCTATGTATCCCATTCAATGGAACTCTTATCATGTCAGCCACCCAAGCCTTCCCTAGTGTCATTGTGGTGTTAATACATCTTTTGACAGTATTTCTTCAAGTCAAAGTATAACGATTTAATCTCATTTAGGTGAAGATAAAATCTTGCTATGGGTTTGTACCCATTTAGGGTGAAATAATTTTTTGATCAATCGATCGATGCATGAAATTTCTTGACATCTTCTGCATCATCTTATGTATGAATCATCACATCGACTTGTACTATGAAGTTTGCATCCGTCACAAGCAGCCTTATCTCATCCAACGATGTATGCATTTGTCATAAGAGAGCAAGGAGGATTAGGACTCCGTCCAACAATCCTGATCATTGTACTGCGGGAGGATGGTGGCAAAACTTAAATCCGAAGCAATAGCAAAAACACGCCATGTAGCAGCACTCAAAAAATGATGGCAGCAAAATAATAGTGGCAACTTCAATGATTATCAGAAGCAAACAACAGTTGGCAGATCTGAAATCAGCAACCAATGTCAAACACAAAGCAAGGCAGCAATAGGTTTTGAAGAAAATAGTGTCATTTTGCTATTAAGTATTAAGTTTAGTGTAGATGTTAACATCAGTATCTAATTTTCCGATGCAAATAAGAAAGAAGCATATGACCCAAAAAATATTCAGAGTGTGTGACTGATGTGTATTTAGTATGTATGTATTGATGCAAAAGCATTAATTTTTACACTTGTTCGAATGACTGCGGCCGCAATCCAAATATAGTAGTAGGCACGCAGCAGCACAATTCCCGTTTTATGACTAGCCTTTAACTCAAAATGTGGACAATTAATAGCAAAAAATTGTATAAAAAAAACGGATATGTGAGATGCAGCTCTCGATCATGGTTGCGTTGCCAGTGACGGTGCTGCTGCTGCCGAGTCTTTTGGGTGGAATTGGATGAGATGCGATTTGCCGGCCACATCGGGGAGTGTGCGGCGGGTGGGGAAAAGGGTGTCCCGGCTTGTTGCTGTGAGCGTGAATCCGAGGATGAAGATTACGGTGGAAACGGCCAAGATGGCTGATCCAATATACACGCCGTCTTTAACGAGGTAGCACTCTCCGTCCAGCCAACCTCTCCCGTATGCCTGCTTATTGCTCATGCTCGAGGCAGTTCCCAGCAGGATGGCCGCCAGTGCAAAGCTCAACCTGAACAAAGCCACATAATTAATCCATTCTATTTCTCTTTCGATGATGATCCAAATACATGTATTGATTAATTGGGCCTACCAGGAGAGAACAAGAAGAGCAATCGAAGCTGATCGCCTTCTCCTGGAATTGCCGGAGCAAATTCTGGCTGCTGCTGCTGAGGTTCCCGCGATCTGGGCGACAGACAGACACACCAACGCCGTTATCCCTAGCGCGAATGCGGAGCTCCTCTGCAGCGAGCACAGGCTTCCATCCAGTTTCAAGTCTCTTGTAGCCTGTGAATCAGGAATACGTAAAATTCATGGATGACAAGTTACGATTGACAATTAGGTATCAAAAAAATCTCTATTGATGAGATCGATGATGTCGGTCACCTTGGATTTGGTGAATTCGGCAGCCACACAGCAGGAGAAGGCCACCATGCCCAAAAGCAGAACTGCCGATGAGATGAAAAGCTGTGCCACACGGCATCCAGGTTGCTCCATTTGTGGGGCGGGGCTGGCCGGAAGCGGCTGAAATGGCGGTCGCTAGATCTGGGATAGGGATGCTTTACTTGATGGATTTTGCTTGGTGGGGAGAAAAGGGATGATGGTTTCCTTCCTCCCTGCTTGGCCTTGGGTTTTCCTCGTACGGAGAACTACCTCCATTTACTTGTAGTAGCTGGAATTTTTGGACAAACAAACAATCACCTCCCAGACTTGGTATTTTGGATTGTTGGAATGGCGAAGGAGACTGGGTACTGGAAAAGCCTCCAAATTTGAATCAGCATCCACCATGACAATAATGTTTTAATGAACAACGGCAGGCCCTCCGAGAGTCGGTCAACGGCTGCTGCAAGCGATGAGTAATCAGAGAGGGCCTGCGGGAGTGGTTTAACCAAAAATTATTTTTATCACCACTGGGTCGGCAGATGAAAGTAGGAGGAAGATTCGACTTGCAAGCCTGGCTTTCAGCCTTGAAGCGATCATTCGATGAGCGCGGTGGCGTTCCATTGCCACGGAATGAAAACTCCTAGCGACGCGATGAAATGAACACTAGGACCGATCATTTGGAAATTTTTACTCTATATGTTTAGTAATAAAAACTATAATTTCATATATTTTTTGGACAAAAATTTTACAATCCTTATTTTCAAATTTTTTATACATCTGTAAAATTTTTTTCTCGCATTGTACTCTTTTCGAGTTGTAAAAAACAGCACATAATAGATTGCAATCACAGAATCGATCGACGTTTGGTACCCTCAACTCTTGTTGAATTTCTTGAGTTCATTTTTAATAGTACAAACCTGTACATTAATGATTAGCATAAAAATAATGAATTTCTTTGTATATGCTTATATTCTATTCCAAAATCATTAATAAAGCATGTCAACACAACATATAACTATAAAAGAGAATTTACAAATATACCGTTGAATTCATGCAAGTAGTCACCATTGATAATCCATCTATCGTAAAACTATAATTGCTTGAGCTAATTCTTACAACAAATGCTTCCATGTTGTTGTTTTCTTAAATATTAAGATTGTGGAAGGTTATAATAAGAAAATCTCTGGGTTCAGAGTCAACACATGGAGGTGAATAATCTATCTTTAGTAGAAAGTAGTAGACCCATAATGCAGGGGATCTTGGTTGCCAGAAACACTTACGATCAAATTTGTTTATGTAGGAATGCATATAAAGAAGGCCATCTAGAAGTACTCCTTGGTCAAATGACTCATCATAACCATCTAAAGAGGCAGTGATCAAAATGCAAAAGAGGCACAAACAGGTAAAGCCAGATAAAAAATTTACATGAAAAACATTCCAACTAGTAAACATGTGAATACGTATAGCACTAAGGAGCTATGTATGCAAATATGTAAATTTAGGTGCGAGATAGGTAAATGCATATAACATCTGTTAAATAATGAACAAATTCAATTATGCATAAGCAACCAAATAAGAAAGCACTTCAATGGCCTTTGTTATACAGCCACAGACGTATAAGCAACCAACAAACTTTTGGAATTTCATTCGCTATAATGCCAGAGCATCTATAGCTCTCCACAAAGCCCAGAAGCAGCTTCATTTATGATTACGAATATATACAACGTTAAGTCATATTTTCCCAGCCAAAATCCACAAAGCCCAGAAGCATCTTATTTTGTTTGAACACCATTGCTTCTTTCGTAATGCATATATTTGGGAAAATATGACTTATGCTTAGATTGCAATGGCTGGGATATATGCATTACGAAAGAAGCAATGGTGTTCAAACAAAATAAGATGCTTAAAAATAAACGGCTGGATAACTTGACATCCTTTACAAAATATTTCAAACAAAATGGGTTGCTAATAATTTCTTTATATAAGAGCAAAAATCAAGTGTAAGCCCCCGCGAACAATGCAGAGTTTGAACTATACCATTACTCGTCTCAAAACTACTAAAGGATGCAATTCTCATCAACATTGAATAGCTAATTAAATTTGCCATCCTTAAACGTAATGAATCATCAGACTTGCTGATATGCAATTTGCCAAGAAAGAAAATGGTCTAAGAGTAGTCAACCTAAGACACCATTTAAACAAACCATCATTTAAAGCAGGTCATTTCCAAATAGGAAAAAAAAAATTGGAGAAAGCATATCCATGGATCATTTATAGAGCATGAGACTGGTTGCCCAAGAGATAAGGAAACAATCATTTTAGGACAAAAAGAAGGCATTTTTTCATTTGTATACCATGAGACAAGGAAATAACCATTCGCAAAAGATGCTTCACATACGTCTAAAAGAAACTATTATCTAGCCCAAACTTAAAATTTCTAATACATAACATTAAACATATCTAGCCCTAACTTAAAATTTGTAATACATAACTATTATCTAGCCCAATGATACAAGGTAAATTCCTCTTAAATTTATATTTCCTATTTTTTATATGATCATCCAATGAATATTATGAATAATAGAATCTAAAGGGGTATATTTATTTTTGAATATTCTAGAATTCCTTTAAATTCATATGAAATATGTAATAATTTGCGAAGCAAGAAGATGAAATATTTTCTTAATTTTACAATAAAAATTTTCAAAGTGATATAAAAATTGAAAAATATTAGAGAGTGCATTAAAAAATTCTCATTAGAAACTCATTTATTGATGAGATAATGAAAAAACTAACATTAAAACAAAAGATGATCATGATTTTTTATGTTATTAGAACATAAAACACAAAGATTATTAATATCAATCCCTTTTAGGGTCTGTTTGGGGCAGTTGCAGCTCATTGAATAATCTGCTGATAAACTGATTAAAAATAATCTGATGATAAGCTAGGTGCGGTGACAATTACACATTTTTTTATTTTCTTGGAAAAGTTAGACCGCTGCCAGAAAGCTGCCACCGCACCTAGATTGGTGCGGTGTGAAAACACTGTTTTTAGCATTTTGAAAACACAAAAGCTACCAAAACGCATTTTACTCAAGCATGTCAGGTGCGTTTTCAAAACGCCACCGCACCAAATAAGTTGCCCCAAACAAACCCTTAATGTGAGAATATCACAAGTTTTCAGAATTATTTGAATATTTTTTCAAGTAATAAAAACAAATTTAATGTCATATCCTTCAAACCAAATGAATTTGAACCGGTCTACAGAAGAAAAAGATTCATATAAGTAGAAATAAAAAAAACATATGACAATAAATATAAGAATTTTTCCAAAGACAAATATAACCTTGAGAAATTGAAATATTATCAATTGCATTGATGAAATCATCAAGAGTATTTATAAAATGATTAAAGTTCCAATAATTAGTACCGAAGATATCACAAATTTTAGTATTAATAAGAATATTAAACCCAATGTAAATAGTGTCACCAAAATTCTCTTTTACAGATAAACCATTAAATCAAAGGTCATAAAAGATAAAGGAAGAGTAGTTGACTATTTGGAACAACTCTAAAGAATATCAAATTATTTTAGGCACATTAATTATATCTTTCGAGAAAAGAGAAACTTTTAAAAGAGAATAATTCCAAATATAATCGTAATGATTAAAACACCACCGTGATAAAAAAGAATTAAAATTGTAAAATTTCCAAATAATTTTTGATTTACACATAGTATTAAGAGTATCTAAATATGGAAGTCCAAGACCATCATAAAGTTTAGACATATTAATTTTATCTAAAACAATTATGTCAAGTTTTTTTTTTCATCATAGAAAAAAATTTGTTTCTCAACCCTTTATGTAGAATCATAGAATGAAATCCATAATATAAATAAATATAAATAGTAAATTTAATAAGTTTAAGCTTATTGACAAAAGGTAAAAGTTTTTGCTTTCAACCTGCCAACCAACTTTGAATTTTATCAATAAATAAATGATGGTCATTAATGATAAGTTTGTAAGGTTTAATGGTAATACCAAGATAATTTCAAGGAAGAAACTTTATAGTAATACCACATAATGAAGAAATATTAGGTTGAGTAGAGGCATCCACCGATTTATAAAAAATAATATCATATTTAAAATCATTTATGTAAAGATTAGTAGTTTTTACTGAATGTTTCAAAGATACTGGTAATTAACTTAATGAAAATAATATCTACTTCTCCAAATATGAAAATGTTACTAGCATAGATTAAATGAGAAACCTTAACAATATTTCTACTGAAATTATGTTCAAGCATAACAGAGAGTGTAACCATAATGATGACAAAAAGATAAGGTGAGAGATGACAACTTTGTCTCAAACCAGAAGAAGATGAAGGAAAATAACCTTTTAGTTCACTATTAATAATGACAGAAAAATTAACTTTAATCATGCTAGCATAAATCTATTTAATAAAAGTCGAGGAAAACCAATTATTTTCATATTAACAAATAAGAAATTCCTATTCACTTTATCAAATGCTTTAGCAATATCCACTTTATCACAAAATTGCTTAAAAGAATTATTAGAATTAAGACCATAAAATAACTCATTAGCTAAGATGATTTATTAGTAATATCACGATCCCTAATATAAGCAATTTGGGTGGGATGAATAATAACAAAAGGAATAATTTTAAATTTTTTAGCTAGAAGTAAAATCATGACTTTATAAAAGATATTACATAAAGATAAAAGCCTATTGAAAAAAAGGAATTAATAACAATAATGTAATCTTCCCGATAATATGCCAAATTTTCTTAAAAAATTGCGTCTTATTAGAGCCAATTAAAAAAATCTTAATATTTTTATCAAAAAAACTTTGATTCAAAAATTCATAATAATTCTCAGATATTATTTTGTTAATAAGAAATGTGTAATCACTTGAAATTAAATTCTCATAATTCTCATTACCCAAACACGAGTAAAAAGAAATAATTTATTTAGCATCATCATCTTGATTCTCAGTATAGACATTATTTACATAACTCCTGAACGTTGCCAAATAGCCCATTCGTCTGCTCTCTCCTTAAATTCTGATTAGGGATTTCTCTTTGCGGCCGCGCCTCTCCGGACTCTGGTTCAAAGGTGCTGAAGTAGTGAGCGCCGGCTGTGATGGCAACCGCCAAGCCCGATAACCCCGTACATCCTCCTCCTCTCGCCATTGGTGGTGAACCTTCTCCGGCTCCGTTCGTCCTTGGCCCGAACGATCCCCGCGTCCGCTCACTTTGCGACATCCTCACCCACACCCCGACGACGGAACTGGAACGCGTCCTCTCCAGCTGTGGCATCGTCCCCGTGCCCGAGCTCGTGGAGGCTGTCCTCTGTCACTCGTATTCCTCCCCTGCCTCCGCCGTTCAGTTCTTTCGCTGGTCAGGTCGCTCACTGAAGCACACCCCGCGTGCTTGGAACCTCATGGTCGACATCCTCGGCCGCAATTCTCTCTTCGATGCCATGTGGGATGCCATCCGCTCCATGAAGCAGGAGGGTGGCGTACTATCTACCGCCACTTTTGCCTCAGCCTTCGGCTCCTACTGTGCCGCAGGTAAGATTAAAGAGGCCGTCATGACATTCGAAGTTATGGATCGCTACGGCGTTTCGCAGGACATAGTTGCTGTTAACTCCCTTCTCAGTGCTATCTGCCGCCAAGATGGCCGCACCGCTGATGCCGCTGACTTCTTCGACCGCATCAAGACCCGCGTGCCCCCCGACGCCGACACATTCGCCATTCTCTTCGAGGGCTGGGAGAAAGAGGGAAACACAGCCCGCGCCAAGACCACCTTCGGCGAGATGATCATCCGCGTCGGCTGGAACTCCAACAACATGTCGGCTTATGACGCCTTTCTCAACACTCTCGTCCGGGCAAGCCAGCCCCAGGAGGCCCTCAAGTTCCTCACGGTCATGAAATCAAACAACTGCCTCCCCGGTCTCAGATTTTTCAGTAATGCCCTTGAGATCCTCGTCAAGCACAATGACGCCAACCATGCCCTTGCTCTCTGGGATATCATGGTAACCGGCAGTGGCCTTGTCCCCGATTTGGTCATGTTCAACGCGATGATCTCCCTCCTCTGCAACAATCAAAAGATTGACTTTGCCTTTCGCTTTCTTGATGAGATGCCCTTTTATGGTGCTTTCCCGGACTCTCTCACCTACAATGCTATTTTTGAGTGTCTTGTCAGGAATAAAAGGGCTCGTGAGGCTGAATTGTTCTTCAGGGAAATGAAGAAAAACGAGCAGCCGCTGACCCCCTCCAACTGCGCAGCTGCTATCAGGATGTTCTTCGATCAGTTCGACCCCGCAGCTGCTCTTGAGGTTTGGAGCTATCTCATGGAGGAGCTAATGATCCCAGACAATGAATCTGCCAATGAGGTGCTCCTAGGTTTGGCAGAGTTTGGGAGGTTGAGTTTTGCCACGAGATATGCCGAGGATATGTTTAACAGGGGCATAGAGTTGCGGTTTACCGTGATTGAGAAGTTGAAGAATTCCTTTCAAAAGGCTGGCAAACTTGACTGTTACAATCGCATTACAAGGAAGATGAAACAGCAGTAGCACTTGTGAGGTTGCACCAGATGCATTGAGGTTTGTGCCATCGCTGACCTTCTTGTTTCAAATTTAGGGATTTTTTTTTTAAATATGATTAGTTTGATTTAAGGGTTTGGGTATTGGGAAAGAATGGCTGAACCAGAGATGTATCCGCAACCATGTTGTAATCATTGCTTAATTAAGATATTGTATTGTCAAGTAAGTTGCTCCCTCCAAAGTTGTTGGGAAATGCTTATTAAGATGAGGTGATAAGCAACATTGAGATGAGAAGAGCCTGCATAGAGGAGATTAACAAAAGCATCATTGAGTTTAAACCATAATAATTATCAAAACATAGAGGCAGTGAAGTACATGCAGAATTGCATAGGATTAAGAGTGGGTAAACGAAATGCTTCCAAGGTAAAATTCATTAAGCATTATTGCTTTATCTACAGCAAGTCTAAATGTGTGTCCGGTATAAGATAAATTATTAGAGATTTACAAAACTCGACCCAACACAGCTTGAAAGAAGGCAACATTCAAGGAGTTTTTTTGCTTTTAAAGAAAGAAAATTGTTACTTTTTGTTTCTAGTTGATCAATTTAGGGATGATCAAGATGGCTAGCTTGTGGAAAACAGGCCAGTCATGTGCTTGGCTTTATTGACTTGTGACATGATTTAAGTTTTCTTAAAGTATTATCTATGAGCGTATATCATGATTTCTTAAAAAAATATAGTTTTCAATAGTATCAATGCCATTTTTCTCTTGGAATTCTTGACTCTCAGTATTTACAGATTGAAATGGAAAAAATAAATATAATGCTATTAAGGGAGGGAGAAGAACATGGATGCATATTGTAGCAGTAAGAATCACACTTTCTAGGAATGATGTAAGTATACAACTTGCGTGCGCATAGCTTATCATGCAAGAAGTTATATCACTAATTCTAAGAAAGCAAAATAATATATTAGTGATTAGAGGGAAGGGAATCACGTTGTGATACTTGTTAAATGGGAAGGAGTATGTTACTAGTCCTGAGCATATGTGAAGATTCTCATGTGCAAGAAAGCCTGAACTTGATCACCGCAGATGGAAGTTGCACGGGTAGTAAACCTATACAGTAAGAAAGATTAGAGCACTGGAAGTTTGAGGGGCATAGTGTCTGTCACTTCTGTAGACGGATTTTTGATGGACTAGCATGTTCTTCGCACACAAGTTCATGTTGTTGATCTGTCAGGCAATTTTCATTTTTCCAACTCCTGCATTGAGTGAAATCATACGTTCGAGTTCCTTGCATAGCTAATGTTTAGATTTTAAATCATATGTGAAAATACATTGATGGTCATCCACAAAATTTCAAGAAAAAGAATGCAATCTTGAATTCAATTGAAAAAAGAAATAGTGATGGAAAATTTTATTAACTGCTTTTTTCGTCAACATTATTTTCCAAAAGTAGGCAGACATTTGAATAAAGTGCCTTTTATTTTCATTTATTATTTGGGGGTGGGGGGATGCTTTTTCATTTATTCTTTTCTTTACTGATTTGGATTGTGACGTCATCTTGCTAGAATTTGAATGCTGGTGAGGAAAATAAGGAAAAAAAAGAGTTGATGTTTTTTTCTTTTTGGATAAATTTAAGCATCTATTTCATGCTTTGATCATGAAAAATTAAAGTTTTGCTAAATTATGATCTCTTTTGTCTTGTTTAGATTTATGAGATAAACACCTTGATAAGCAACTAATTGCAAAAAAATATGAATACTTTGGATTATGATGAAATAAATTAGAAGAACCCATTTTTTTCTAAGACTACGATGCCTTTGGTGTTTCATTCATGGTTAGAAAAACTAGGCATTTTGTTTTATTGGGAGATTAGTTCATTGGTTCATTTATTTAAGTGTTGAGTCAATTAGGTAAATGTTGGGCTATCGTGAAGGCACATAAAAGCTACAATTTTTTACGATTTACATTATAAGTTTGGCACTAATGATGGAGAAGCAGGGATTTATAAAATATCTTAGATACAACAACAACAACAATAAACTTTTATCTCGCTAAGTGGGGTTGACTACATAAATCCTTTTTGTCCATTACGTCCTATTGAGTGTCATATTTTCATTTAATTTTAATAAATTAACATCATTTTTTGGCTTAGGGTTCAAATTTTCCTTGATTATCATTGTGAAAGAAAGCAATACACCCACACCCAAATATCCTTAGAGATTGGGAATCTTGGAGCTAGTTTTTGTAAAATAATTTTTGATAAGCATCGAAATATGTTTTTTAAATTTTAAAACATTATTGGGCATTTAATTTATGAGATATAGAAGTGAGAACAATTTCATTCGAAAGATATTTAGGTACCTGATTGGTAAATGACATAACCTGAGCTACTTTCAATAAGTGTTTGTTTTTTTCTTTCGGCCAATTTATTACTTTATGAGTGTCGACATAAGAGTTTTTATGAGTTATTTCTTTTCAAAAAAGAATTGACTCAAAATGTTTTTGAAATGCACTTTGTCATTATCACTTCGTAATATTTGAATTGTTACTATGGTGTAAAAATTTTTTAGAATTATTTCTACTTCAAATTTTTCTTTAATTAAATAATTCGAACTTAATCTAATATGGTTATCAATAAAAGTCACATACACCTTTTTTTTAGTGTGTAAGGATTTTACAAGGACCCCAAATATCTTTGTGAATTAAATTAAATGGTGTACTAGATTTTTATATTTGTGGACAAAACGATACACGATGATGCTTAGCAAACTAATGCAATTTACATTGAAACAACATGTCTATTCTGAAATAATTTGTGAAACAAGTATTTTTGATAATAAAATATGGGATGACCAAACCTATAATGCCATAATATAATTTCGTTGTCTTTCGAAACATAAATAGTCTTACAACTAGTACTTTGACATTGGCTATTCAAGGTAAATCCATCTTAAAAAAAATAGAGTTCATATTTTTATTAGTACTGTCAATCATTCTCCCCATAGTCAGGAAATTCCTGAAAATCAGGACAAAAAGGATATAAGTTACTTTGGTATTGATGGACAACAAGTTAAATGATTAATTAGGAGCATGAAGAACATCACGAAGGGTTAACAATGAGATTTTGATAATTTTTATCATAACAATTACTGAGAGAGAACCATCAATAATTTTAATCTTTTTGTTGCCTACACAAGGTCTATTAGTAGAGGATGATTTAGAACCAATAATATGATCAATTGCCTCTGAGTCAATTATTAAAGAATTATCAAAATTAGGAATAACACCTAATAAAACAGTGACCAGAGAGTTATCCTTTTGTACTAGAGAGCAAGATTGAGTCTGGGATAGTTTTGGAGATTGAAATAATTTTTACAAGTGCTCTAATTGCTCATTGTTAAAAGGGATCACATTAGAGTTACAGACGGCTCCTGAGTTTCTTCAGAGGCTAGATAAGCTTGACTTTCATGCTTTGATTTTGATTTTTAATTTGCAGGTTTTCCATAAAGCTTCCAACATACCTCCTTTGTGTGCGATGCTTTTTGCAATGCTTACACCATATTTTTTTCTCCTACTTTGTCATTATCAATCTATTTTGATACAAGAGTCGAGTTATCCTGTTCATGTTACCAAATGATTTAGTGTTGCACAACATAATTTTTCTTTTGGATATTTCACATAACTTTAGAGAAGACTTCTCAAATTGAGGGTAAAGGTTTTCTATGAAGGATTCGATCTAGAATTTCATCTAAACTTCGATTAAGACCAACTAAGAACTTATAGACCCGGTCGTTTTCCTCTCGTTTCTTGTGACGAGCATCATCATTTGCATTCTCCTAAATGTCATCATAACATTGATCAAGTTTTTGCCATAATGTTATCAACTCATTGTAATACGTGGTAACCTTACGATCATTTTGTTTGGATTTTTAAAGTTGAGTTTTCGACTCAAAAATTTATGAAGAATTCTCAAGTCTGAACTGAGATCTCGAACAGCCTTCCAAATATCTGGAGCAGTGGGAATGAATAGAAGTGGTTTTCTTATGGTAGGTTCCATGGAGTTGATGAGCTTGACCATAATCAGAGAATTTTCGGACTACCATTTTTCAAATTCGAATCACCAACAGTATATTTTAAAATTTTTTCGGTTTAATGCCCAATTTTTCCTCTCATATTGATCGCCAATTTTATAGATTGAGTTCTCCCGAGGTAGTTGTGCCTGTTGAGTTTTATCGTAGCGGTGATAAGTTCTGGGGATAATACTCAGTTGATACTAGTGAAAGGCAAGGAGATGTAGTTTCAGAGTGACTAGAACCAGTGGATGTCGTAGAATTATTTGTAACTCACGCCATCATTGTTATTTTGTAAGATATCTTCAAAATTTGAAAGAACACCGTGATCCCGATAAGTTAAGCTGCACAAAACTTCTTTATACTGCAATTCTGATTTTTGTTTCAGATCAAGCAGGGCGCGAAACTCCTTTACGCGGCAATCCATTCAATTTCCTGCATAAGCGGTTTGAAACTCTTTTCTGTTGCGATTCTGATCGTTGCTTTCGATGAGGAATGACACGAAGTCCTGTATGCCATGATCCGTTTACTTCTCTGCACAACTTTGACCTTGTTGTCAACTACAAAAATAGGAACCAACAACTTCATTGGACAAAGAAACAACATATTTCCATTAAGATTTGCTTTGTACCTGTTGTCGAGATGGAAAAATACAGGCGGAGGCGGTGTCTTCGAAGGAGACGCATGAAGGCAGGGGAAGAAGTAGTATAGGGCTAGAGCAGTCAAAGAAGCCTCACACAAGCGGATAGTTGTACTCTTACTAGTATCGTGTAGAATCAGAGTGAGGAAAAACCGCTCGCAACAGCGGAACACCTAGACGACCTAGTAAACGACACATGATTGAATGACTTCGAATGCGACCACTCGGTTAGGGTACCGTCGGTGTCTTTGATACCATGTAATTTTTAGATAAGGAAAAAAAAATTATTCCTCTTCAATCTCTTAACAATTACAAGATAAATAAAGGGTATGACTTCCACATTACGAAGACATAAAATCAACTATAACTCCCCGTGATAAAAGAAGGGAACATGAATTATAATATACCAATAATTTTATATTCTAAATACATAAAATACTAAATTAGAAGATGCTAAAGAATATTCATAAAATTTCAACAGTGTGCACTATGAGCTTGAGCTTTGATTGAATGAAGATTCAGTGTGTGGGGCCCACATCAAAGTTAGAGCATATGAAGGGGAGGAAACATCAAATTTTGTAATATGTTGAAATAAGATTTATATTTGTGATCTTTTAATCAATCTGATTTGCATTAACTCATATAATGTGGTAACAACTCTCCCTCTTAGAGTTGAAAAAGGAAAAAAAGAAAAACTCTTCCTCATAGAGTCGAATAAGTGTATGCTCTTTTATGAGCTGGTGTCCAAGCTGGTGTCCATGGAGAAGTTAACGATGAACTGATTTTATGAAGAGCTCTACTCACTCTTAGAAGTTAGAAGTAGACAATCAATATATTTGGATGAAATAGAAAAAGACAATGCTCCTCAACATGAACCTTTGTAGATATAGGCTGCATTATAACTAGTGGATGATCTGGAGCAATAATGAACAAATGGAACTGCAGAACTTATTTTATCTATAACTTTAAAATGTAATGGAGGAACATGACATTAGAGTGTAACTCAAACATGATCTCGAACTAAATTTTGGGCACTGTATCACGCTCAATCTCATGTTTGGTTTCTAATAATTGATCAAAATTGTCATTAAAATTGGTATACTAGGTGGGGGAGTGTTGGTCATGGCAATCTAATGTGACATGCATAGCTTTTTTGGACTGCATGGGTTAGTGGAATAAGTGAAGCTTGTAAGAATGATTAGGGCTATTGGGCGTCTGTTGTTTATGGGATGCAAGTATTACTGGTGTAGATGATGAGTGTTTTGTCCATAACATAATAATCGAGCTTGTGAAATGAAGAATTGAATCAAAATCCTAGTAAAGTTTCTCGATCACATGAATGAGAACATGATGTTTGGGAGGTTGTTAGAGAAGATCATTCAACATAATAAAAGTCATTTTAATTTCATATGAATGTTGATGGTATACATATACATTTACACAATTATGATATGATTTATATGGTGATCTTTTCTAACAAACAACACGTATAATCCATCCATCTTTATTGAAGCATAATGTTCATAGGTGTCATAATATTTGCTTGAATAATGTGAATTAGGATATCTACCATGGTGATAATATGCATCAACATAATCACCATCAAAACTTGATTTTTATTGCCTTTGATTATGTGGTGCCATGTTATAATTGGTGAGGTGTAATAACCAAGTTTTGAGAAATTTGATAAAAAATTTTAGCGACTGAAAAATACCCCAAACTTCGGATCCCTTGGCTTTCAATCAAAACAATTCTAAAAGATTCTATGCGTCAAATCAATCAATTCAATATATATAATATATATAAATTTTGAATAGATTTGAAGATATAAAAATTAGAATTAATGAGTTTAATTAATTTATTTAAACCCGTAATTATCCTTAATCCCACATTGTTACTGTAGTCGCCGCCTTACTAGTGATAATAAGCCTACGGTCTCGGTCGAAGGGCTGGGATCCTTATTCTAAAGCTTTGAAACCCCCTCCCCTTCCTCTCAGTTAAGTGTCACGTTCCTCTCCCCCTTTTGATTCCCCTCCCTGTTCGATCTCGCAAACATCCTGCGAATTCTAGTGAGAAGAACGACGACCTTGTGCTATGGGTCGAGTGACAATCATCGAAGCTGCAAAGCACGATTTAAAGTTCCGGGATAAAATTGGTGAGTGGTGATCCCTATTTCACTCTATTTTAGAAATTCATTTCCTCTTGTCTCCATTTTGACATATGCGATGGATTTTGCATCATTTTTTTTTTTCGATAGCCGTCAGAAGAGCCGAACTTGTGTTAGAAGTCTCGAAAGTGTTTGGGTAGCTTCGGTGAGGATTTTAGCATAACATCAACAAAGGAGAAAGAAGATTTGAAGTGTTAGGAAAAAGAAAGAATTTTTGGTAACTTCGAAAAGGCGAATTTGTGTCGAGAAAACTATTTGAGGTAAGAATATTACTTTTTGGGTTAAATTACTTTATGAGCTGAAAATTTATAAAATCCTAAGATATTTACAAATTCTAGGTTGTTTACCTGAGGGGGCAAGTTCGAGGCATGCATGTAGAAGATCGTCGTTGGACTGCTCCATAAATTGAGGTAAATAATTCTATCCTAATTTAAGAAGAATAATTTAATTAATGAGAAATTGAAATCTTAAAGTTAATGTTATTTTTTATAGATAATTAAACTCAACATTAGAGTTACCGTGATATTTTGTTACTTACCAAAATATTAAGAATTTAACGTGACAATTGAGGTGGGTAATTACATTACTAAATTTCAGTAATTTTTTTTATTTCAAAATGTATGTTGATTTATCTGTATATTTTAGTTCGATTTGATTTATATTACAGTAGATTCTTCTTATTATTAGATAGAAAAGTTCTGTATGACAGAAAATATATAAAAGACATGCATAATACAAGAGATATGCATAATGAATAGTTGCACAACAGAGTAGATATACATGCTATTCTATACATGAATATGTTTTAATGTAATATATGCTATGAAGAATGAAATAACTTGTATATGAATGCTTGTATTACACGTTCAGAGGAGAATTTCACCCTCTAATGGTACAGACAGGGGATGTCAATGTACCCGTGCGCGTAGAATTTTTTTCTACCAACCCAGACAATTGTGATGGTTAGATCACTAACCGTTATGCCGACGAGATATTATCTGCCAGAGGTGAGTTGATTAGAGCTTACCTCCCCAGATAATTTGTTTACATTGTTAACTGCTATGCCAACGAGATAATATCAGTCAGGTGGTAGGTAAGTGTTTTTCCACCCAAGACAATTGCGATGTTTACATCGCTAACCGCTGTGCCGACGGGATAATGTTGACCGAGGGTGTGTTAGGTTTTGTTGACAGTGTTCCTTACAGAGATGGGTATGTATGTAAATATTATAAAGTAAAGTTAAGATAAAGTAAATACATTTAAAAGACTAGAGTATTTTCATTTAGAAAATGTCATTGATACATGAACTAACATATTATCAATTTTTTAATAAAAATATAAAAGAATAACGTATTGTAAGATTTTTTATAAAGATATAAAAGGCCAGCATGCATATTGAATTTTTTTTCTTTGTGCTACTGTAATTTAGAAGTGTGATTACTCTTGAATTATCTTCTTTAGATAACTCGATAACTCATTATGTTACTTTAATATTATTTTTAGGTTTTAGGAATTTCTATAAGATGAACAAATTTGTATAGAAGACGAGAACAACAAATGAAAATGTACAAATTTTTAACTTTTTAATTTTAATTGCTTTCATTAGTACCTCTTTCATGTATTATTTGAATATCAAAATGTTAGTTATAGAAATAAAATAGTAGTGAATTAATTTTCACTGTCTGACCTTCTGTTCTTGTCTCGATTAATTTCAAGTTCCGGGTCAGGTTTGTGATATGAGGACTTTAAGAAAGATTTCATTATGAAGGCAGTGATTTTTTTCATTCGGAGAATTGATGCATATCTGAAAGTTTGTGTTCCTTTGGAATGCAATCATGTTGATCAATTTTTATCTTAATTTTCTAGTTCATGTCAAACATGCAAACATAACCAAAATGTGTTCACCAATTTTTTGAATAGTCTATTAGGTCTAGCTCATCACTACATAGTTTCAACTTAGTGCATTGAATTCCAATGAAAATATATGAGATTATGAATCATTTACTTGAATCGTCAACTCCTACCCATAATAATTCTACTTCCTCTAATTATGTTGTAGTATTTTATTTTTGATATTGCTAATCGAGCATACTATTTATGCACATCACATATCAAGTATTTTTTAGTGCCATCTTCTGTCACCTTTCCCAAGGATTTTTAAGTAATTCAAGAATTGAAGTTAATTCAATGATCTCTATTATAACAATAGATCAATAGGCCAACGTGGAGATTTTGTCATAAGAAGACATTTTAATGCTCAAGGCAACAACTGAACTTGAACTTGAATATAATTGAAACTCACAAAATAGAGATTTCTCTTGGGGTGAAGGGCAAGGATTAGAGGATAACCCTGTGTCCTTTGAGTTGGGAATGAGTGTTGGAAAACATTTGCATTTCCTCATAAGTCGTTTTTGAAGAGTTGGGTGTAAAAGTTTGTTTAGTACTTTTACAAGATAAATGGTATATGGATATATTTTCTTAATGAGATTTGCTCAGATGGAAAAAAAACCCTTGGTTGAAGGATATTTTGGTCTTCTAATTGATTAAAGGGTAAGAGTTAGATGCTTCATCTCTGAGATCTTTCTGCTCTTAGAGGCCATGAAAGAATATATGAAATTTTTTTGCTTTGCGATGAGATCCATATGATTTATAATTGGAATAAGACCATAATTTTGCTATAAGATTTATGTAGAATGTGTTCTGAGTTGGACCATATCTTTATTGGCGCCTCATTATTTGTGCTTGATTTATTAATTAATGGAAGAGTTTACGTGTAAATTGTGATTAATTGTTTAGTATCATTGGTTTGTCCTACTTGTATTTTCTTACATTACCGCTTAGTATGTTTATTATTTATTTTTTTTTATTTTGCAGATATTTGCCGTATCAAGGAGTTTCATGTCCTCAGGACTTGCTAACTTTTTTGCTTGATAATATGATTACCAATAACATATGTCATCTCAGCCAAACTTCTTTGAGGTTGAAGTTATGATAATTGATGAAGTTTCAATATAAAAAGATGCACTTGCTAAGGAATGTGGGCCACATAGGAGTTGAAATTTCTCATTTTTATGATAAAATTTGATATAAAAAATAATATATCACATCGAGAGATGAAAATACTATCCATTAATTGATTTAATCACAAAATAAAGCTTACAAGACTCGGTCTATGATGCTAGAGATTTTTTTCATGCTTTATCTGGGTATGACATGATTTATTTTATTTTGGGGTACAAATTTCCTATAAAGACAAACTCTTATAATTAATTACATCATAAAAGAGATCGTCTCCTACTCTTGATTAAAATGGTGGCCCTTGTGTTTCTATTGATTTTACATTTTGGATTTCAAGATTGCTAATTTAGAATTTCTGTTGGGATATGATCAAATTTTGGAATAATTTTTATTATTGGAATCCAAAAAAGATGTATGAAGCACCAGATATTGAGAAGTTCAGTTGCACTTCAAACTATTCTATAGTTTTGCTTTATGTTTTGAGAATTGAGATTAATTTTTTATTTAAGTTGATCATTTTATTAAAAAATTAATATTGAAATCACAATAATAAAAGATCATGAAAATGCCTAAGAGGTGAACTATTTTCTTAGTGGGCCCTTAAATTTAGTCTAAAATAAATTGAGACTTGTAGTTCGTTTAGATGCTTCTTTATGGGTATGCAAGTGCAAATGGTTTTATTATTTTTAAGATTTCTGATTGATTTTATTGATTAAGCTTGCAAGTTTTAAATTTAGTTCATTTGAATTTCTAGTTCAAGCTATTACTCGAGTAGAAAATTTAACTTATTGTGGGAGCCTAACAAATAAAAAATAGACTTTAAACAAGCACAAACAGTCTCAGAAAGAAACTCATGAGAAAATAAAAAAACTGATTTCACAAAAAATAAGCACACCAAAGCAAACATTAAATTAATATGTAGAGGTCAGTGCGGCAGGATACCGCTATATACGTTAGAAGAAAATTGAAAGTGGGCAGTCGAGTTCTACCCCTATACTACTCGGTCTCAAACCTAAGGATGAATTAAAGAGAGTTTCATAAGTTCCTAAAAATATTTAGTAATGATTGGACCTTACTCCTTAGAGAAAATATAGGATTTGGCTCAAATAACTCTTAGTGAGACTAAGTAGGCCATTTGGTGGCCACCTGGAATTAATTTGGTCAGGCAGAGTTAGGTAAGCCTCTTTAGACTTTAGAAGGCACTAATAATGATAAGTTTAGAAGGAAGGCTAGATGTTCGATTCATTTTTTCCCTCAATCATAAGTGAGGTCAACAAGCTACAAAATTTTCTATATATATGGAAAAGTCAACCAACTTTGGCAGATATTTGGATGAATAGGGAAGTTTTTTAAGAAAACTGCATCAAACTTAGTGGATACTAGTTGATTTTAACTCTTTAGTGTAGAATTCTTTGTGCTCCAATGAAGCTGGTGCAAAATATTAGGAGTGCACAAGCTTGTGAAGAGCATAAATAAAGTACCACCATCTTGCATAAAATTATTATTTCAATTCAATAATTTATTTTGTTTTTTTAATTATAAGGTGGTTGTATAAGATTGGTTGAATATCCTTATGCACAAGATTGTTTCAGATGGTTTTTCTTTTTTAAATGTAAGAAAAGTCCACAATTGAACGTTTGGTATAAGATTTTGCAATATTACAAGATGGTCATATCCAAGTTAAAAAGGTCCTTCATAAATTAAGTGCTTGAGTCTCGTCTTTGTTTCTTGGTTTCAATTTTTAGGTGACTCTTTTTTAACTTGGTTTTAAACATTACATAATTTATAAATAGATTATTATTGAGTTATTGAAACCAAGCTTGAATTAACTTGACTTTATTGGATATTCTCTCTCTTTTTTTTTTATTTTAGGCATGGTGATGAAGATCAGTTCTTTATGTGAGAAATTTTATTTTTCTTGTTACAATATGATGTTGGAACTTGCTCAGAAATCAGCAGAAACAAAAACAAACTTTTATTAACAACTGAATTAGGATTACAAACAACTCAAAATAGGAACACGACATAACAACAACCATTTACGACTACGGTTAGAAGCAAGGATTCGAGGGTGGTGGTGGCTTCGACGAAGCGGCAAGGGGAAAGGGAATGGTTTAGGGTTTTAGGGTAGGTTGGAAGGAGGGCTAGTGGTTGGTTTGAGGGTTAGAAGTGTGGGGCAGCAGGAAAGTTGCAGGGAAGTAAGGGGGATGGGTGCTGGGTGATGGAGGGACGGGCTAGACAACAAGGAGCTATTGTTAGGGGCCTGCTGGATGTAGGAGGGTGGCCGGTAAGGCTGAACAGTAATGGCCGCTGCAGGAGAAGAGATAACAGGGGTGAATTGGGGGGATTGGGCAACGGGCTTGCGGTAGTTGAAGGGGGCGGCAAAGCAATTGTAAGGAGATGGGGTGGGCCGATGACTAAGGGAGGTGAAGGAGAAGAGGTAGGGAAGAAGATAGGTGAGGATACAACACCACCTTGGAGCAGGATATAGTCGAAGCACTACTCGTTGTCGTATACAACCCTAACAAGGGAGAAGACAACTCCAAGGGAGAATCTTAACCTTAATTCTCTCACACAGCAATAAAAAGGCTCCAATAAGGCAAAAAACAGGAAAGGAAGTTAGGGGAGGGGCTGGCTGCAGTGTCACTCAGTCCTTTTGGGATTTGGGCCGGCTGGCTCACCCAACCCCACGTCACAATAACCTTAACACTAGCTCCTCCTCTATTTTCTCTTCTAAGCCCTTAAATAATTTTGTAAACCCTAGCTAGCTCTGAACATAGTCGTAAATTGTAAAAGAATACCTCTCATGTTCGCCTCTAAAACAAAGTTCTAGTACAAAATTCAATAATTTTGAAAGCCTTGAATGACCCTTCTCCCATCTATAATTCCAAATACAGCATCCTTCTCTCAACAATTCCACTGTACACCCATATGGAAGATTTGTCTAAAAGGACGACGAAGGGGATTGGTTCATCAAGCCGAGTTCAATACTAGCTCATCGAATCAGACCTAGCATTAACTCTCTAGTTAAGTGATGCCGGATTCAACCCAAATCACAATGGGGAAAACAAATATTATTAATCAAAAGCAAATAGTGATTACAATCAGAGACTCTTGGAACTAGGAAATAACAAAAACACAACACGACTCAACTAGGGCTGAGGATGAAGACGAAGGTGTTGCAGTTTAAGAATAAATAGTAACTAAAGTAGGTTAGAGGCGGCTGGAAAGGGCCTGCAACAAATAGGGAGGGCCTGGAAAGGGTCAAAGACAAGTAGGTGTGCGGTTGTATAGCTCAATTGCAAATGAAGGTGGCTAAAAAAGTGCGACAACAAATAGGGAGGTTGTTGGAATGGCGCGGCAGCAAGTAGGTGAGTGGCTAGATGGGGTGATAGCAAACTGGAGATAATTGGAGGGGCTGACAATGAGGCTTAACTGGTTGGGAGGGAAGGTAGCTGCAGGGAACAACAATGTTTTTTTGTGGTGGGGGGGGGGGGGGGGGGTTAAAATTGATTATACATCAACGACGACTATAGCGATAGCGACAACAGAGGAGAGGTTGTGGGAGCAGGGAGTGATAGATAAACACTACATCGAGACATTACAACCGATGCACCTTCCCTTCGGATACAACCCTAGGAGAGAAAACTAGATGACGAAGACTATCCTGACAGAAATTTGAAAGCAAAAATTGCCTTAAATACAACCTTGGGTAAAAAAAGAGTGGGTCCCGCTTCGAATTGGAGGGAACTCCATGCTTGAAAGAACCAGTTAGTCCCTCATTCGCTCGTTTTGGCCCAAACCAAATTAATTTTGTGCGACTTTTGTCTCGTGCGCGACTTTGTACGTCTGGGGCAGAAAGCGCCCCGCGTAGTCTCTCTGGATTGAAGGAGCTTTAACCTCATTTGTTGAAGCTTCCGTGTTTTCGTAATATGAAGTCAAGTCTGCCATATTAAAGTAGTCGAGATGTTGTAATTCTTTGGTAAATCTACCTTGTAAGCTTTGACATTCAATTTCTTGAGGATTTGGAATGGTTCATCTACTCTAGGCTTGAGTTTCCCAAACCGCAATAGGAAAAACAAATATTATTACTCAAAAATAAATAGTGATTACAGTTAGAGACTCTTAGAATTAGGAAATAACAAAGATACGACACAACTCAACTGGGTCTAAGGGTGAAGATGAAAATGTGTTGTTTAAGGAGAAATAATAACTAAAGTAGGTTGGAGATGCCTGGGAAGGGGGGTTGCAGCAAATAGAGAGGGGTTTGGAAAGGGGTGGTAGAAATTGTGTGGGTGGTTGGATGGGCTGATAACAAAAAAGGAGGTGGCTAGAAAGGGGCGACAAAAAGTAGGTGGTGACTAGATGGAGAAATATTTACATAAGGAGAACGCACGCAGCTTTACGTGCGTATTCCCCTTCCAATAACTTCTAAATAACCTCTGCGAAGGGTATTGTCGGGTTATTGCAGAGTTATTTATGCATTATTTAGAGTCAATATCCTCCGATTACACTTTCACTTAATAACCTAACACCAGAGAAAATCTGAAAGTGTAACTGCGAAGGGTATTGACTCTAAATAATGCCGAAATAACTTCGTAATAACCCCTCAATACACTTCATAGAGGTTATTGAGAAGTTATTGTGAGGGGATTTTGCACTGAGAACTGCGTGCATTCTCCGTACGTAAATATTTCTCGTGGGGCGGCAACATGTTGAAGATGATTGGAGGGGATGATAGTGAGGTGGAGTTGGCTGGGAGAGATGGTCGGCTGTAAGGAACTACAAAGGGTGTTGTTTCCGTGATGGCTGTGACTAAGACGACGACATTGGAGAGGCTATGGGAAGCAAGGAGAGATAGGTAAACACCACCACAAGATGAGTTACAGTCGGAGCGTCTTATTGCCTTCAAATATTACCCTTGAAGGGAAAATTGGACGTTGACAGCTATCCTGATAAAAAATTTGAAAGCAAAAATTGCTCTAAATATATAACAAATAATATATAAATCTAGGTTAAAGAGGAGTTG